ATCGCAACTGGCAGATTTTTCTGTCCCCTGCTCTATATTACTGTACCCATGCAACCAACTACCAGTGCATCCCAAGTGTGACACAAAATTTCTGCCAGGTGATGAACTGGGAGCTCATTTTGATGCATGACAACCCGACCGGCAGGCACATGACCTTGACTGTGGGAGCATGATCCAAAAGGAAACCAACATGCTGATGGTCACGTTTGGTAGCCAGAATAAATGTGACTAAAGGGCTATCAGGAATTGGTAGTGGGAAACGGCCACAAAGGGCCAGGTGGAATTGGCAACATGCGTGCAATGCATGACCCAGACTTGTGCTCGTACATACAAAGAGGAAAAAGAAAACAGATGAAGGTTAATGGGAGTGATGATAAGAGTCAAGTCGGAAGTAGAGAAACATAAAAAACAAAATACAACACAGAGCTAATGTACAAAGACAATGTAAAAAGATAAACCTCAAAAACAAAATACAGCACAGAGCTAATGTAGGCAAGGGCTGAAAGCTGAGGCAAACAGGAGTGAAGTCACACCGCAAATAGTGTTGGCAGTAGCAAGTTCAGGGAGAATAGAGCATCAGTAGCGGCAGCAGCAGTGGGTCAAAGGAGTAAGCCTGGAAAAAACAGGTGGCAAGTTGGATCTCACTCACAGAGGGAGCACGAGATACCAGCCGATAGGGGGAGGAGAAAGGGGGGCCATCAGGGTCGTGAAAGTTCAGTACACACCTCCACTGAATGGTCCGCTTCGCACATCTGCGCTGAAACATCCAGCATACGTCTGAGGCAGCATCCCCTGACTGTTACAGGAATGGGTTCTGGGGAACCCAACCTGAACCGTTTGGCTTACTAATGGAGGTGGCTGCATAGCCATCGGAGGGAGAGCAGAATGGGATGAGTGTCTGGAAGTACAACCTGTGGGTTGGCCAACAGTAACTTGGCACTCCTGGGAGCGTACCGGTAGCGAGTATGACATGGGCTCCTTGAGGGAGCCACCTGGCTGTCTGCTAACGGGGACTTGGTGCTCCTGGGAGCGTGCCAATAGCGGGTGTGCTGGGAGTGGTTGGCTAGCAGTGACTTGGCACTCAATGGAGCATACCGGTAGTGCAGGATACTGGGACTCCCAAAGGGAGTCACCCAGTTGGTGGCTATCAGTGACTTGGCACTCACAGGAGCATACCGGTAGTGGGAGTTGTTGGGGAAAGCGGGCTGGTGGACCAGTGCACGGTAGTGGGTGACTGTGGGAAGTGGGACCTGCAGGTGCATGGCCAGGCATCCTGGAGCTGCCTGGACCATATCCCTCTCCTAAGGAGGTGGGATAGGCTATAGTTCCTGATAGGGAACTTCTGGTTGGATGGGGGTGACCACTCAACCACCAGTGGACTGGTGGGAGTGGGCAGCAGGAGGTTGGGCATGGGAATGCCCTCCTTGTTGCGGTTTCATCATGGAGAGGATGAATAGGGAGGTGGACATGGTTCCAGGGTTACAGGTTGAGTTTACAGTGGTGGCACAATGGTGAGGATGTTACAATCATGGTACAAGGTTTGTGGGTTATGTATTCAATAATCAGAACCATTTTTGGCATCTGCCTTACACATCATATGACTTCTAACTATCTAATATAAAAGTCATAATGGTCAAGGGAAGTCCCTTGAAACTCAACAAATCCCCCAGCCAGCACCAAAACCCGGTGGGAAAGCTTGGCATGGGGTTTGATGGAGAAGTAAAATGGGGGGAGGCCCTGGGTCCACCTGCTTGCAACCACAGACCATAAGATTCTAGTCTATATCCATAACACTGACCCATTCAGGCTAAGTTGCATGAGAAATCACGAGAGATCACTGCGATCAGTGCTGGGAGGTATGTGAATGCCAAAACAGTCCCGACAGGGTGCAGCCAGGTTTCCCAGCTAGTGGTGAGTGGAAGCAGGAACCTGAGATCAGCTGATGGTAAGTTGCTATCCCATGATTAGTCTCGTGAAATGGAGACATTAAACAACAATTAATTTGAAAATGAGTTTCCCTTTAAAATTTCTTTGCACCTAAGTATGGATGGTTTTGCTCTTGCGCAACATATCTGCTCTTATACAGATGAGCCCATCCTGTACAGAAATGCACTTATTGGATCCTACTTTCCCAGACACACCCTGTCCGTCACTGGGTTTCTCCGGTTCAAACTCCCATCATCCAAACAAATTTATCTGCATCTCCCAGTAATTCCGGCACCCTTGATGATATCACCACACTCCCTTCCTCTAGCCTCAGCTTGGATCTTGGCTGTGGAATGTGAGTGAGGTGGACACGGAGATGAAGATTTTTCACTTCTAATATAAATATTACTAAAAGGGCATTTGAAATATAGTTGCATAGCCACTGAGCCACCCCCAAGGAATTTGTGTGACATGGGCTGTTCAACCACACCCCCAGTGTGACACGTGACATGACCATCATTTTGGCTGGACCGGGAGGCCAGTGTGATGTGTGACCGGTAGTTGGTCATGTGGGTACAGTATATGCTTTCTTTAGGGGAGCTAAGTGTCATGCAGAAAATGGTAACCATTGTGACAGGATGTGGACTGTAAAGGAAGAGTAATTATTTGAAGGGGGATTCACCATTCTGCCATCAACACTGAGTGAGTAAGGGTTTCCTTTGCCTGAACCAGTCAACATAAACCTGGGTTTGGTAAAAACAAAGTCACGGGGACGTGAGTCGCATTATTCATCATACTAGTTGAACTGCCTTCAGCTGGTTGCGAACCCATAAGTGCAACCAAGAACTAAAATGCGGGCACAATGACTTCGTAATAATATATAGAATGCAGGCATTACAATGCGGTACCATACACAAATTCAATCCAAAGAAACCCCGGGAGTTGTTTTGACAGACAGTGTAGACTATTATTTTCTTCAACCTGCTATCTTGGGAGTGGGGTGAAGGCAAGTGTGATGGAATTCCCTCAGAGTGAGACCACATATGTACCAAGAACAGGGCACTGCCCTCTCAATCTTGATCTGTCGAAGTTGTCGTTGAGGTGCACACCAGGGTTAAAGACAATCTCAATGCAAAATGGACATTGCTTTGTAGTCTCCTGCTCACAGGTCAAATCTGCAGCGCTCAAAATGAGAGTCGTTGTGTACATAGACACTGCCAGAGTGAGGCGAGTGGAGACTGTGTGAAAGTTGCTGGATAATCTGAAAGTCAACCAATGACGGCGTGAAGTCAAAGCCCAGTGAGAAGTCAGGCAGCATCCATGAAAGTGAAGAGTCGGCCAAAGGGATGATACAGCATGCAAACTAATGAGTTGGTATGGATATGTAAAGAAACGGCATCAAGGCTCTGTCGTTGATGACATCGGAGAGTGCTTGTCAGATATCAGAGAAGATTTACTGGCATGATAGTGAGAGAGGACGCGAGAAGCGAAAGGCTAGGGTCAGCACAGTGGAGCGCGCCCGAGTTTTATAGTTAAAGCCAACAAATGAGATGGCCAGAAAGGGGTTAAAATGACAGATGAAGATAATGGGGTGTGTGCCTTGCCGAAAGGTCACTCACAGTGAGAGCGGTAGACGCCACCGATGTGAGGCGAGTGAAGGAAAGCTGCTGGTGTTTCAACAGTGCCATTCCTGTAGCTGTTGAGTGCATATACACCTTTCAACATGACATCAGAGCGACGTCAGGAGTGAAGGCAATCTGAATGTTTTGAAACGCTCTAAATGGCCAGAAAGTGTCTATTGAAATGGAAGTAATTGGCAGATGAAGATGGGGGCTGAGATGCATGGCGGAATGAGAAGAAATGCATCGAAAAGTATAGTGTGCAGTGTGCATGCCATCACAATCATTGCAGAAGTGTGTCAACCAAGTGTGGTATGCAACTTCGTGTCTGATCTGGAGTTAAGGTTTGTTTGCGGAAGCACGTCATTACATTTACGACAGAAACCCGTGTAAGAGTGTGATAAAGCCAGAAAATATGCGAAACATTGACTACAATGCGCCAGGGAGCCAATTCAGTGATGCACGGAACGTTGCCAGTCAAAGTCGAGATGGAGTTGTGAACGGAGTAATGGTGGTGCATAGAACAGGAATGCAATGAAAGACACATTATGATGTAAGGATCAAAGGATGACGTAAGTTACACTGGGGCGTATAAAAAGTTTGAGAGGTGAGCAAAGACGAAAGCAGGTTAGAACCCTCTACACTGATTAGCTAAGATGGAGCAGCCAGCGACTGCAAAGTCGTTAAACTAGGAAGGTAAAGAGTAAAAGGTAAAAGGCAAAACATACAGCCAGTACGTGAACAAAATATATATATATATATAAAAGAGAGGCCGGCAATGTCAACCAGGGGGGAAAAAGCTCAGGCAGCACCAGGGCGGGCATCGCACCGACCCTGAGCCCAGGGCTGTCGACCAAGAGCACCCAATTGCCACCTTAAAAAACGCCAAGTGCGGCTTTGGCAATTGGGTTCATGGGTAGTTCCACAAGAACTAGGACAGTTCACGGGAACATCCACACAGCCTACATGCTGTAGACTAGGTGTCCCACTATAGACTCGCAGAGTCATCTCCTTTGGTTTCCCCCTGATGAGGGCGCAGCCTGAGCAGACAACCGAGCCCGGAACCCCCCCCCCCCCCCCCAAAAAAAAAAAAAAAACAAATTAAATTAATGCCCCATGAAACCTTACCATCCTCCCACCTCAGCCCAAACCACAGTGCAGTGCCCATGAAACCACATCCACCGAACACAACTGATGCCTGCCTGTGCCCACCAGTCACCCGACAGCTGCTCAGACGGTCCCCAGCCACTATTGACCCAAGATGGCCCTGCCGGAAGCGCTCCCCCTCACCCCCAATCGCCCTGTCACATTATAACCGCATGACTTTCGTGTCTCAACTGCAATACCCCAAGAAATGCCAGGCCCCAAAATCGTCCTGGTCATGCAGGGCCAAAACTTGTGTTATATTTGAATCTTTCGCAGCTCTCAAACCCAAGTCTAAGCTCTGTCACTGCCCTAGCTTCCCCAAGTAAATGTGGAGGTTGCAGCCCTGGTTGTAGCTTCTCTGCGGGAGCTGAGCCAAGAGACATCCCCTTCTGCCACAGTGGATGGGATCTTAAGGGCGGTCACGACAATGTGCAAATAGTTCATCGTAAAAACCATTACCACCTGCCATCCCGCTGTGAAAACCTGTACAACCTGTGTAAACTAATCCATACCATAACCAAATAAGCATTACCCATGTCTCTCCTAATTGCACAGCCAATCTGTCCACCATCTCAAGACAGAAACACCACTGCCAAATCTCTACCCTAGCATGGCCACAACATCCGGGCACGAAACCCATTACATCCTAATATCTCGCAAAAACAACTTCCCCCCAATAGAATTAATGAACACCACTATGCCCCCTGGCCCGCCTGTAACTCTCTGAACTTGTGCCCCAAACCACCACCGGTAAAAGACCCCCGTTGACTAAACAAATTGACCCACCCCCTCATGCCAAATTGCCCACACTCAGATCCTAGAAAACCCAAACCCCCCTAACTGCCAACCGAATAGACAACCCCTGGGCAGGCCCCGCTCCTCCCCCCCAAATTTTGAATCCCAATCGCACCCACAACATCATCCCAAATGCCGATGCTTTCTAGTAGTTGGAAATAAATACAGGTATCTCCGCCGGAACTGTGTCAGTTCCCTCAGCCCCCAACAAGTACTCCGCTAATCCATGGAGGTAATTACCCCCCTATTCACCCCATAACCTCTGACAAGGTCCCAGTCTGAACAGTCATCCGTACCCCTCCATACAACCTTCCAATCCCTGCTGACGCCCAAGGACGAACAAATGGCTGCAGCCATAACCAATGTGCCGCAAAACTTTGCCGTCACTATAGCTGACCGGGATGATGAGAACACCCATGACTCTGACTCCGACAATACTGACACCTCTCAACCCAGCCCCCTTTTTGGGAAGAATTACCGTGGAAGCAGTAAAAACCATGACCCCACTCCAGCAACCGAAAATGAAACGAGGAAACACATGAGATCACCCACTGCCGCAAGACTCCAAGGCCCTTTAAAGGCCCCCCCCGCTTCCTCCCCCCAAAAGCGATGAGGCCCCCCCTCTCTACCCCCCAAATTCTCAAACCCTCCTTTGCGCCCACTCCCAACGTCTTCGACTTTGAGTCTGGAGGCTCAGTGGCCTTCCTAAAAAATATAAACCCTACCGAATTCCCTCCGTCCCGGAGCCCAGCCATGGATGGGGATGGATCCCCCATTGCCACTGACCACCTGACCTTCATGCCGGTATCTGCTGAAAAACCCAATGATGGAAGAGACGACCTCAACTGGCTACCCCTAGGCCCTGGCCTAGCCAACTTTTACGCACACGGCCTCCGCCCAGGTCGCCTCCTTGAAGGAGCGAACCCCGACCGTGCCAAAGCCTGGCTAAAAAAGGAAGGTGCCATCCTAGTCCTACCCCTAGACGCCGCCCACAGCAAAGAAAACACCAGTAACTTCCAGACCAACATGGAAGCCTTCCTTGAAAGGGCATTCCCACATCAAGTTGGGGAAGTAAGCATTATCCCCCCTGTCCCCATTGATCTCAGACGTGGCGGAACCCCCCAATATGCTAAACCGTGGGGCTTCTTAATTGATGGCCTGAACCCCCAATTTGCTGACCTCCTCATATGTGAACACTTATGGATATGCAAGACATTTGGGTTTATCGCTATCGGCGCTAGATTCAAGCCCTCTTCCTTCATGATTTCAATTGTGGGAATGGGCAACAGGTTGAAGGATGCGAACAATATAAAAGATGCCATCAAGCAAACTATCTCCAAATCACCAAGCCCCTTCCGAACATTCCTAGAAGAGGCAAGCATGACAAGTGACCAAATAAAGGAAATTGTAGACAGTGTCAGAGTAATCCCCCAAGGATATGCCCCCAACAGAAAGGAATACAACGAAAACACTGAAGAAAAAAGAAGGCCAACCTCGGACAAATCGGTAACCATGTGGGAGCTGCATATAGACCCTCCCTTCAAGAACCTCAAAGAGGCACGAGAAACCCCACATGACCAATGGTCCCATATTTTCAAAATGGCCTCATTCGTAAGCGAGAGAACCCAAGCTGGACACGCTTTCAACAGACAAAGAGTCTGTAACACCTGTAAAGCCTCTGACCACCTATTCCACTGCTGCCTGATCCACTCTCACTCAGCCTGGAATCAACGGTACCCCAAACAAGATGCAGACATGGAAGCTGAAACTGACAGCAACGCGATCCCCTCCAGCTCTAGCAGAGGTCCATTCCCCTCCCTCCCTCGACACCTGCCTTACTCAAACTTCCAACGTGGAAGAGGACGTGGCCACCCCCCTACCCAATATGGCTCGCGATTCCTCTCCTTTGTCCCTCCAAAATACAACTTTGACTGATATACACCTTAAAAAGATTTCACCTGGAACTGCAGACAAATAGCAAAATAAATTAGATAACCAAAAGAGCCTCGCTCACACCACATAGCTACTCTGCCCTGTCCTGTAATTACCTCCCTTACAAACATTGCGATTTGATTAAAAACCCTAACAAACCCTTAACCTCCCCTCCCCTCAACACCCTACTGAGCCCACACTTACTGAGCCCACGGGCGACAGGAAAGCCCAGTAGTCCAACCCCCATAAATGCCTGAGAATACCCTGAACCCCAGCTGGCAACCGGATTGGGGAACATGTCAGGGGATGACTCCCAGGTCCCCATGACCCTCCCCTATGGTCCACAGTCCCAGGTGTAACCAGCCCTGTCCAGGGCACAACCTACTGTGGGTCAGAGATGATATATAGAAGAGAGGCAAGTATATACAACTTGCCTACTGTGGGTCAGAGATGAGAAGGAAGTTAACTTCTCATCTTCCCACAGTGGCCACAATACATCGAAAACTTCCGGAGATATCCGGAAGTCACATGAGACCCGAGGTCCGGGCCATCCGGCCGCACTGAGCGTCCGGCACAGGGCGCGTGCGGGGAGTGCAACAGCTGGGTGCGGTTGCGGGTGCGGGTGTGGATGCGGGTATGGGCTAGGTCAGGGTGTATGCCCTGACAGAACACCAAAAACGCCTGTAAAAAGATCAATCCCCCAAAGCCCAATCACACGGTGAATTCCCAACAGGTTATTAGACCACAGCCCCCGGTGCCTGGAGGGCAGAGAATTTATACCGTTTTACCAAAACCCAATGACAGGCACCAGGGATCGGAAAACGGACCCAAACCCCACTCCCCACCTAGACCGCTCCACCTGAGAGGAGGTAGTGGCCCAAAGACAACAACAAATGGCCACCTCCACATCACCACCCTCAACATCAAGGGGGCCAACAGCCCACAAACTAGACAGAAATGGAACCTAATCATGGACAAAATGAAGAAGGACAAAACCGCAGTGATGTGCATCTCTGAGACTCACACTGACTCCTCACAGGAAGACCAACTATCCGACTGCTACAGTGATGACTTCCAAATCCTCCACTCCTTTGACCCAGCCCACTCCAGAGCCGCTGGGGTCGCAATCATCATTAACAAAAACATCATTAAGAAAAATGCAACAGGAACAACCAACCTCATCCCTGGCCATGTGTCAGGGTTCAGCACCCTGCCTTAGGGTGCCCCGGACTCCCCACCTACTTCACCCCCTTTTATTCTTTGACTGTTGCCTTGTTGTTGCCTTTGTGTGTTGTGTACACGCGCGCACGGGATAGCGTGGGAACTTTCTGAGCGAGCAGCTCGCCCAGAACGTTCCCACGGGTCACAGCCACAGTTCTGGGCAAGCAACTCACCCAGAACATTCCCACGCTTGCTGGGCACTGCCACCTGGATGTTCCCTCCGGGTCACACTACACAACTCTAAGAGCTGTATAGTTGTGGGCATGTGACCCATTCCTTTATATAGCAACCATGCGGGGAGATGAGACCTTTACCCTTCTTCTCATCTCATACCCCGCATAGGCAAGTGTATATATTATCTTTCCTTTTACTATACATCTCATACCCCACATAGTGTGAGGACAGGCCAGATGGGGGTTGAGGTCAGGGAGCCTCTGAGTCTGAGGCCGGGCCCTGACACCATGCTCTCCTCTCCACAATTGAATGGCCTGCTGATAGAAAGATCACAATCTTAGCTATATATGCCCCAAATGTCAGAGGAACAGGTACCGAAAGTGCTGCTTTCTGGCAGAACCTAAGTGAACTCACCGAAAACCTCCAAGTCAACATGATCCTAGGAGACTTCAATATCATCGAGGAAGTGATTGACTGCACCCCCCAACACGAAGATGCAGATACCGCAGTAAGGGCCCCCAAAGAACTCCTATACCTCCACAACCTAGAGGATGGCTGGTGCAAGGCCAACCCCCCACCATCAAAAAACTACACCTTCGGCCATAGATCTGGAACCCACATGTCAAGAATTGACAGAATCTATGCCACAAACGAAATAACCAACAGCGCACTCACTTGGAACATCCAAAACCCCGGAATCCCCACCGCCGACCACCAGCTGATCTCGGTCAATATCCATGACCCCTGCACACCCCATATCAGCAAAGGTAGATGGGCCATCCCAAACTTCCTAATAAATGACCAGGAGTTCCTGATCAGAGTTGAAAAACTAGGATCTGATGCTCTTGCCAACATGATCAGTCTCCCCTTGCCAAATGATGGTGGAATACAAAATATATTCCTCCAGTTCACACAGGCCACCATATCTCTTGCACACAAACTCGCTAAAACTAAGTCAGGCAAGTTAAACTCAACCCTCAGATGCCTTGAGAAACGTAGAGACAAAGCAATCAGAAATCTAAACTCACCCCGTTATGCACACCACCTGGAGGAAACCCAATACCAGATAATGGCCCTAACTGAAAGGATCCAAGAAATCGAGAAGACCCGCCATAGGAACAACAAAACCTCAGCCAGCACAAATAGACGCCTATTTGCTGAGTCAATAAACAAATACTGGTGCAGATGGGGGAAAAACAAAAAACCACGTGACACAGTAACCGAACTGCGCATTCCCCACACCGACCCCCCTGCTACACCTCAAACTCCTCCGAAATGGCCAAAATCGCTGCTGAACACTACAATGCAGTACAAACAAGAGACCTCAACCTCTCCTCCCCCCTTGAAAGGGAAAATTGCATCACGGAGTCCCTCTCGCAAATTACCACTGCCCCCTCAACCCAAACAATTCCCATGTCAACAAGCATCAGCTACAATGAGACCTGTGCCACCCTAAAACAATCCCCAAATGGAAAGGCCCCAGGCCTTAACGGAATCCCAACCGAACTCTACAAAAGGCTCCACAAAAGATGGTTAGCTAAGTCTGAAAGCCGTGTAGACATAGTTAAACTCCTCCACAATGTAATTCATGATATCGAAACGCGAGGCATATCCTCCCCTCAATTTACAGCTGGCTGGCTATGCCCCCTGTACAAGAAAAAAGACAGGAGAGAGATCGAAAACTACAGACCGATAACCGTACTAAATGCTGAATATAAAATTATGACAACAGCCCTCATGAATAAAATTGCCCCAATTGCCCCCAACCTCATAAATAAATGCCAGGCTGCCTTCATAAAAGGCAGAAGTATTCATGACCAAATCGACCTGGTTAACCGCATGATAGACCTATGTGAAATCATTAATCAAGACGGTGCGATTGTTGCCCTTGACCAGGAGAAAGCATATGACAGAATACGCCATGACTATCTCTGGCGCACTCTAGAGGCCATGGGAATCCCAGCCCCCACAATCAACACCATAAAATCACTGTACTCCGAACCAAAAACCCGCGTAATCCTGAACAGCGAAATCAGCAACGAGTTCCCTGTACACAGAGGTGTAAGGCAAGGTGACCCACTGTCATGCCTCCTGTTCAACATAGCAATCGAGCCCCTATCAATAATGTTAAGAGAATCAGACAAAATACGAGGCCTAGAAATTAAAACCCTGTCACTCACACAAAGAGTCATTGTCTCCCTCTTTGCGGACGACGCCGCGGTCTTCCTCTCAAAAGACAACAATGTGGACTGCCTAATGAGTATCCTCAATACCTGGTGCACAGCTTCCGGGGCAAAATTCAACAATGAAAAATCCGTAGTCATCCCTGTGGGCTCACCAACATATCGCAAAACCCTACTCAACACAAGAAATCTAAACACCAACTCGACCAGCCCCTTCCACAACGATATATTAATCCTCGAGGATGGACAAACCACGAGATATCTAGGAGCACAATGTGGAAACCACCCAAGCGGGATTGACCCATGGCCAGACATCATGGCCAAAGTCAGCACTAGTCTTAAAAACTGGCAAAAAACCTACCCGACTATCGAAGGACGAAAACACATCACCCAAATGGTCATCGGCAGCATGACCCAATTCCACACCTCCGCCCAGGGCATGCCAAAAAAAATTGAAAAAGAGCTCGGCACCCTAACAAAAAACTTCATCTGGAATTCTCAAATCCCCCCAATCAGCATGAAAACTCTAAACAACCCACCTGGCGAAGGGGGAAGAAACATCCTAAACATCAAGGCGAGGAACGAGGCGATCCACCTTGTAAAACTAAAGAGAATCCTCGACAGGTCCCCCAACAGATCACCGGCTGCAGACGCCGCAGAAGCGTTAATCATCTCCTCACTCTCGAAACACGTCCGGGACGAAGAGTCCCGCGACCCACGAATAACCGACATCTTCACCCAGCAAATCTTCATCAAGCAACGATACACGAGCAGAACCCTCCCACACGAAATCAAAGCCATACTCAACACAGGAGTCAAGTATAACCTAGCCCTCGATGACATTAACCTTCCTCTAAGCATCAGACTCGATCTCCCAGCATGGCACCACATCGGAAGAAAAGACCGTGTCAGAACAAGAGAAAACACGCCCGCGGCAAAATGTCTGAGAAAAACCCACGACTGCTTCCGCACAGGTGACCTCCTCACCATGGCAAACATTTTAGACGATCCATTCCACAGACGCTGGAGTAAATCTTGCTCCTGCCCCCCCTGCACAAGATTCCGTACAATGGGTTGTAAAAACCCTGAGACCTGCTACCAAGCCGCTGAAAACATAATCTCGAACCTGAAACCCCAAGTCAACCCCCGATCGGTCCTACCATGCCGTCCCCCCCCTCGAGAACACCGGAACCCACTCCCTAGGCGACGTGCTGAACGTCAAAACCATCAAAACCTTCCCCGACCTGAAAAACAATACGTCAGACTATTTCCGCATCTTTCGCGAAGAACTCAACCAGACAAATCCCCCCACGCTGAGACTCCCAAGGAACCTCAGCACTGACATCGTTGCCTACACAGACGGGTCCTGCACTGGCAACGGCGAAATCGATGCCAGCGCCGGCTACGGAGTGTGGTACAGTACAGATAACCCCAACAACGCCAGCCTCCCCGTAAACCGCACCTTCCCCCAAACAAACAATACTGCTGAAATCCTAGCAATAAACCACGCAGCCGCTACGACGCCCCGAAGAGCTAGACTCCACATCAAAACTGATTCTAAATGGTGCATGAATACACTAACCATAGATCTGGACAATGCGGAAGACCAGAACTTCATCGGATCCCCTCATCCCCTTGCTATAAAGACCACCATCAACTCCCTCCGGACAAGAAACGGCATTGTCTCCATCGAATGGATTAAAGGCCACAACGGCTGCGAAGGCAACGAAAATGCTGATAACCTCGCTGCAACGGGCTCCACAAAACCCCCCAATGCCGAACCCACCATCACCAGCCTCCCCTTCACCCAGAACGGCGCTAGACTGTGCGCCCTAACCCAAGCAACCGCCACGAAACTAATAATCCGAGAATCAGCAAAGAACAACCACAACAAAAGTCAAAGATCAACGAAGAACCTTGACCACATCAGAGACACCCTGAAAAGCCTTGACTGCCCGGCCCCAAACAACGACTTAATCTGGCGCGCCATCTTAAGAAATAAGAATGAACTGAACCCCAGCCTTAGAAACTTCGTATGGAAACTTGTCCACGGCGCCCACAAAGTCGGCCCCTACTGGAGTACAATCCCTGGATACGAAGACCGCGGCCTATGCGCGAAATGCGACGTCCCTGAATCAATGAATCATGTCGTTTTTGTGTGCCCACACAACCAAGGCCCTAAACTTTGGGCCGCCATAAGATCCATGAGCACAACAAAAGGAATACGCTGGCCCAATACCATGGATATACACCATGTAATGGCAGCCCCCCTAACCTTAATTAAAAGCCGGAGCGGCATCACAAACCACGGTGCTACTAGATTCTTCAGAATCGCCGTCCTCGAATGCGCTTGGCAAACATGGAAACTAAGATGTAAAAGAGTCCTCAGCGACGACACAAATGGTGAAATTAAAATCTCGCACAACGAAGCCATAAACTCCCTCAAAGCCGCCATGAATGAAAAACTTAACCAAGACAGATCCCTCACGAACAAGAAAAAATACCATAATAAAGCTCTACCCGAATGGCTCGTTCTACACACCTGGAGCGGTACACTGGAGAATGAACTATGCCTCCCCGAGAATTGGCTAAAGTGCAACGGGGTTTTAGTGGGTATACCTGACCCTCCGCGGTCACGGGAGCCCCACACGGAGCGATCCTCGCCAGTGCGATAACGCATTCCCCCGTGGTGGCAATTCCCCTCACACCGAGGCACCAATCATCAACTACTGGAAGGCACCGCCCTCCCTACAAACCTTCAGGCATTACGCCCGCGAAAGCTACCGAAGGTTCCACCAAAAAAAAAAAAAAGATGGAGCAGCCAATGAAAGAGGTTCCAAACATGGCTTCGGGGTAAACCGAGCCAATCAGATCTCATAAAAGACCGACCATGATTATTTATATGTTAGATGATCATCCCAGGGCTGTCATTCGAGATACGAACTAAGGGTTTCTCCTTGAAATCGTCCAAGCATATAGCTGCCAAATCGAAGTCCATCAGACAATGCCGACTTAACAGACTGCGAGAAACACATTTGCCAGACTCATTTTGATGCTGGTATCAGATCGAGAAGTGTTGAAACTATACCAGTATCTTTATCGTTTGAACGCACCATGAGCCCATCCGGCACTATTTTGAAGGTAGGAGGGGGGGGACATGATGACTAGTAGGAATGAGGGTAGCCTTGATATTGAGGATCCCACATTTCACTCAAAGAATATGTTCCCTCCCGCCAAACTGAGTGCATATACGAACCGACCGTTTCCACAATGCTCCCAGGAGGCAGCGCACCGGGATTGCAGAATAGTTGACGCACCTTCGGGTCTTACGAAATTCTACTAAACGTTCCTTTAATTTTCTGCGCGTTTTCGTTGCCATCGTTACGTGAAACAACCCTCTTCTTCATGAAAAGCAGAGGTATGACATTGAATCTGCTGCTGATGGCCCGCTTAGCCAATCCATCACCCAATCAAGAGCGAAGACACAGGCTTCTAGTCATCCATTCGCGGATTTCCCGACCATCAGACAGCGGACTGTATATATTGGTCACCCAATGGGTGGTGGATTCGTTTGTTTTGGTAGCAAGAGATGCTGTACACGACTAACCAGGGAGTCAAAAGGCCAACTGCGTCGGAGGGTGTGTTCGAGCCAACGTGATTGGGAGAGCAGTCCGTTCGCCGGGTTGTAAATCGTACAAGCATTCGTTGCCCGAACGCAGGCCCCAGGAGACAGATCGAGATTTTCGAGGATTGTGAAGGGTTCATCTGATGGTGCCCCTCCCCCCCTGCCCCTGGATATAGTGGGTGAGCCTCGGAGTGAAGGCTGTGATACGTCCTCAGCGACCGAGATGGCGCCTGGGCGGCCCGAAATCTATCCCGCAGAGGGTCGATAATCTTATAATGACATGCTAGCCCGTTAGCGTGACGTACGGTCAACCTTTGGCAAGATCTTGGATGAGATTAAGATCCGCGGGCGAAACTTTTCCAAAAGAAAAAGTCGTGGTCAAGGGACTGAAAAGATGCCTGGAGGGAGGGGAGAGAACAGCTTCGGCTCGTGATACCCTAAAGTAGGCGGTGAGTGTCAATTACTGGGATGCACTGAATTCCTCGCTCATCGGGGACTTGCTGAGTAAGGAAGGTTGTGTTCTGATCGTTTTCGCAAGAGTGAAGAGCGAACCGGTGGGAGTTGACAGATTCCGGGAAAACAAGAATCGAAACCATAATCAAGATTGCGCTGCGGAGAGCTAGTGAGTAGGCGCTTGCCAACCTGACCGGACGGGTGACTTACAACCATAGGCAGCGAACCTGAAGAAACCACCGTTGATGCACAGAACAATAAGGGCACGGATAAAGACAAGCCGTTGTCATATGATGCTTCAAGTCTCTATCGGAGCAGATTACGCAAAGATCCTCGACTTACTTAAAGCGGAATACCCCAACGTAAAAACAGATGTATAAGGGGGTCCTACACCTTCCCTTCCTTTGATGAATGTGATCAACGAGATCTCCAACGCGTGGAAGGCGATCAAAGTTATGCTCGGCTGCACGGATTTCACCATACGTGTGTTGACTGCACATGAAATTTAATCCGAAGAGGCATTTACCCAAGTTTCCAGGTAGTCTCCTCTGACCGCCGTTATGTCAGGTTGGTGCAGGCAAGTGCTGCTAGTTTTAGGCCAAGGCAGGCCCACGCCCAACACCCAAGGATGACAGGAATATGAAAAGTTCCTTCTGTACGACCGCCGCGAAAGGCTCAGCTGGTGGTGTCAAAACTCCTATTGTCACTTGGGTATATAATATGCAAGAGCTGCAGTACCAAGGAAGACAGTGTAGCTCCCCGAACCCACGGACTTCTCTATGGAAGGCAGAGGAGCGAGAACTGTAGATCAAGGGGTTGAGAATCTATGAGACGTCGATAACGTTGGTTGAGAGAATTGAGGCGGAATCCATGAGACCTGTTCCTTCAAAAGAGGTGACGTCCCTGGATCCATTGTCGGAACAGGTCTCCATTGATGCTAGAATATGCTCAAATTGTGTGAAAACAGCGCGTTCGGTTTATATGGCATAGTATTCCTTATTTCCGAGGCAAATTTCGCAAAGCGAGGGCTTTTCACTGAATGCAATTGAGGTATGAAAAGCCCATATCTTTGACCTTAGCGTGCCTATCAAGAAGCTACTTCACCAGTTTCCACTTACATAATATCGTGAGGTGGTACGTGCAGATTGGGGAATGGAACCGATTTGAAGAAGCTCTAGGAACAGTGACTCGAGGGGTTGAGACGCAACCATTCATTATCACTGCGCACGAAGCGAAATAAACTGCGCTGGCGTGTCTCATGTGCAGCACTTGAGGCACTAAAATATTGCCATGAGAGGATTTGGGAATTCGGAACCGACGCAAATAAAAAGTGACCCTCATTGCAAGGGGTAAGCCAGGCTGCCAAAGATCGTCCTCGATAATTCGCAACTAGCAACATGGGAGAGGCAAAAAGGTACACGTTCACGTTAGTTTATGTTTATGTGGGAGTTCTTTGGAAGGTCTTAGCGTGAGGCGCATCCTTCAGGAATACATAGGAAATTCGTTTCGATCTGTTTCTTCATACTCTATTTCGGTCCCTCCCAGATCATCATCATTCCACCGGCCACCAACCAATGCTTCTAGATCGGTCACACCACCAAATGGCGCAGCAGTACCTGAATCTCTCAAACGCGCTATTTCATGTTCGAGCTGCTGTTGAATTTCAGGTGGAAAGAATGGAAATTGGCCACCGGTTTGGATTGTACCAAAAGATGGATCTTGGGGTAGGTGTGGAACGCCCATCTGTGTCCGGCAGGCCGGGCAGGTGTCTTTTTTCTGTGTCAATGAAATGACAGGGGAGAAGTTAGTAGCTCCCGGGGGATATTGCAGGAGGCCTACAGCAGAAATAATCCATTTAGCAAGACTATGCAGGATGAGATATATGAATTAAAGTGAACACCGACTCGAGAAGCTTTGGCTCACTCTTTCTTGCAAAAGTAGTGCCCACATGAGGGGATCCTCGTCACACCCAGTTCGTAAGGCGAGTTTGCGGGACTATCCATAGCGTAAGCCATTTCCGCTAGCGCAATGACCGACAAGAATGTCTCTTGACAAATTGGGCAACTATCGTCTAGAACGACGCGTCATCGTTATCGCTCTAGCCAAGGTCACAAGTGCGAAGATCACAGTGCCTTGATGACCGGATGTCCTTAACTCTGCCTCTGTGATTGTAGGAAGTGAGTCCACAAAATCGTCGCGATGACCAGGGCTGGGGTTTTGACTGTATGGCGCGTCGATCTTGCATTAGCATTGAAAGGACCACTGGTGTGTTCAACTGTATCGCGAAAACTCTTACAGATGCTCCAGAAACGACATGATATCGTAATGACTATCTCTAAAATCCATTTTATCGTTTGGGTTCGTTGACAATGAAGTGGTCAGGAGATAGGAGAACGACGCGTGTCGGAGCAATCATGGTGGCCACGAATGAGTCATGTCAGGTGCGGCGGCTAGTTCCGCTGGCTTCAAGTGAAAAACCGTTCCTTGCTCTCCTGAGCATGCTGGGTGAAGGGTTCGCTTTGAACTATGCCCGTCTCTCCTCACGTTTTACATAAATGCCCAATCGCGACATTCTGAGTGAAGAATTCTCTCGCGCGATATGGCCCAGTGAGCAGCCACAAAGTCCTCTATATATATATTGATTAAAATTATATTGCCTTGGCATGGCCCAACTGAATTTGCGCACCTTGTGGTTGTTCGAAATATTTGTAATTCTATGTATTATGTACATAAAGGAAGAATTCGAGTATGATGGATTGACCCTGCGGGTTGTTGAGGTGATGCGTGCGGTTACATGTGCATGTATTTATGTATGTCTGCTGCATAAATCATTTCCATTGTCAGGAAATGCAACTGATCATTCACTGTTGCCCATGATACGCCATTTGCTCTTCGCTGTGCCCCTTGGTCTGAGATAATATTTATTTTCGCGATGCTCACTTACGAGCTGGCCTCATTGAACTACCTTCCTACTTTGTTCTCATTTTAGGCGATGACGGGGAGCTGAAACAAAACACAAATAAAAAGGTAAATTGTCAAGACGATGGTAGTCTGATGGTCCGGATCTTGCCCGAGCTGTGCTGACACGCTCCGCGTATCTGCATAGAAGAGAAAGCCAAAACTTGATCGACGTCGTGGCAGCAGGAATGGCTGAATATTGCTGTGTTCCGCGGTAATATGTATTTACCCGTCAATGTCATGTGGTTGAAATTTCAAAGGGTTGTCTTACATAATGTCTATCTCAGCTATCAATGTCATCATGCACTACGTTTGGTAGAGGTCTCTGGTAGTTGGTAATAGAGATTGGATTCGTTCACAACTATGGCAACTACATAAATAGCAGGGAACTCGGTGCAAAGCCGACCGTCGGCTATTTCCTTGGGAGAAGGTTTGGAGCCCCATCAAGGTTGGTGTAGGAACATGTTTACCAACACCCTGCTGATCTTGAATGTTGTCAGGATATCGGAAACAAAGGCTTGTGGTAAGTAGATCTGGTTACCTAATTTGGTACGAAGGGCATTCCCCGAGAGTGGCTCTTGACAGCACTAAATTAGTGAAAGACTAGATTCATTCTTGCCGTAATCGTGCATGACATTTATATTGTCAAGTATTTCAGAGCACTACACAGAATGTCCCATTTTATTCTCCAACCTGTCCTATATATGCACAAAGTAGGAAAAGACTGTCGCGGTCTTACCACGCTTCTTTGAGAGCTACGAACAAGCTCCTCAACCATGTTCGTCGTGCTCTTCTCATTTGTCCTCGCCGCTGTGACGCTGTCCGGCGCGTCATCAGTTCACGGCGTTCATCAAGATCCTTGTGTCAAAATCGCTGGACACTCTTATGTCGCTCCTGCTGACGCTCTAGCTTGCATGCGCTCTTTCCCTTATAATGAAACGCTCAAAAAAAATGTCCTAGCTGTCGTCAGCGGTGCGTTGGACTTCTTCACGTTCGAGGCTGAGCAAATCCACAGCCCACCTCCGTTCCAGGAGAGCTCCGTCAATCTCCGCTCTGAGTTAGCGAGGATAAAAGCCACCAAGTATCCCGTACGTGCCTCGTCCGTGGATTCAGCGTCCTTTACTGACCGGTCACTCTCTTTCAGACCGACTATGACTTCAACAAGGATCTCTTTGACACTATCAACAGGCTGAACGATGGGCATACTCTTTGGCTCCCTTTCTGCTATTGGGCTTCGTTTCAGAACATAATCCCCGCCCCTGTCGTCTCGCTTTCTGTGGACGGCGTGCAGAATGTTTACATGTATGACATCAAAGTTGCCTAACTCCTCTCCCGGTTCTGCTCATTTTCTCTGCAGTGCTCCAGACACAGTAGCTTTCATCAGCCAACTTGGCGCTCTCTTCACATCTTACTACGATTCCATAAATTTCGATTGGAAGAGATACGCTGGCGCCAAGGTTCTCGAGATTGGTGGTATGCCTGCATACTCCTACATTGACCACATCGCATCCACCGTCAGTGGCAATTACCTCGACCACGGGATCCGAGTCAATTCAGTGTTTTCGGGCTACAGGATCGCCTCAAATTCCTGGCAAGTATCAATTGATTTCGCGTTACATCGATTGTGTTCCTGATCAAATATGCCCACCATATGTCATCGCCTCGTGTGTCCATTTGCGTTCGATTAATATACACATTTAGGTCTCAGCGTTTAGGCGATCTTGCGGGACCTTTCTTTCCTACTCTGACATCCCTTGAATTCAAGCTCATCCGTGTCAATTCTGCCAGAGTCGAGACGGTCAAGTTCCCCTACCGCGCTGCCTACATCAACTCTGGTACCTTCACTGATTCAGCATCCTACTGGAAGGCCAACTGTGCTGTCACTGCGACTACGAACGGTCAGTCTTATTACCCGTCCGACGCCGAAACTCAGCAGGGGTTCGTGAAAATCGAGGATCATGACTCAATCGTGGCCAGGAGGGTGCTGAAGATGGTTGGTGCAAAGAAGGAACCCATGGATATTGGTCGGCCGTCCGGTGTGGGGCTTCCAGCACCACAGTGGCCCACTGCTCCTCTGCAAGCTGGGACTGGTGTTTTGAAGAGCTATATTTTGCCAGATAAGCCGGGCGTTGGTGTCATGATGGTGGGGTCATTCGAACCAAGGGGCTTTGTTCAGGTGACACACCCACTCCGTCCCACCATTCCATGCGCAGCTCAAGATTTACTTTGGATGCTAGTTCCAACAGGACGTTATTGACTCTCTTTCGAAATTCCGGGCCGCCAAAGTCACCAAGCTTATCATCGACGTGTCCAATAATGGAGGAGGCTACGTTTGCCTTGGGGAATATCTCCATCTTGCTCTTGTTGGAAGCAGCTTTGGCTATGGAGGATTTACGACATCCCACCGTGCTAATGACCTTGCTCGAGTCGTGGTCGCTGCCGATATCAAACGGGGCGTTAACGCGTCGATATCATTCTATGCACCTGATAACTACGCGTTCCTCAACGGTACACCGTAGGTTATTTTAATACTCTTTTTTCATGGGTAGGCCTGAGGCATATTGATGCCACCCTGCCTCTAGCCTTCCGAAAACATACAACTACATGGAGCCTCCCGTCTCCCACCAGGTCAACGGTTTGCGTGAGCCTGTTGGTCAGCGCATTCTCGTGAGTTCGTTAGCAAAGTTGTGCATCGCGTTGAAGTCCTAACTTCCCCGCTTAACTTGGCACTAGGATAATTCTTGTACGCCATTCAAGGTTGCCTTACCGCCCAAACCTTATTTCAAGGCTGAAAATATCGTCATTGGTAAGTTCGTCGAACCTTCATCTCTATCAAGTGGATTCACAAAACGTCATCAAGTCGGAAATGGGAATTGTGCCTCTACATGGTTTGTTCGATCTGCTTGGTAGAAACTGGAACAATTCACTTATTATATATCCTCCAGTGCACAGTTCACAACTGTCATGCGCGAGCGTCACAACGTTAAGATGGTTGTCTTTGGTGGCAAACCCGGCGAGCCAATGGAGTATAAGGGTATGGCCGGCAACCAAGTGCTTGATTGGCCCGACCTTAATTCGGAGTTATTGACCGCAGGCGTGAAGACTGTGAGTGTCCAGACAAAAACAAGCCTATAGGGCGTGGGTCACGACACTAACCCTTTCATCAGAATCCTCAGGCACCCCCTGACTTGTAAGTGGAAGCGCAACAGCATGATGATGCACTCATTCCTAATGTATCTCCACCATTTGTAGGATCATCAATGGTGATATTCGGATCAACTGGAGAACGGCCTATAGCTGGAAAGATCAGAATACACCTATCGGTAAATCTCATCTCTCCGGACATCACATAATGAGAGTGTTAACCTCCCGGGCGGAATGCAGCCTTCCGCAGCGATCGTGCTCCATACCGGTTTCCTTATACGCCCGACATTGTGCATACTCCGCAGGCTCTCTGGTAAGATACTGCGTTTTTATCGATGGCCGCGATCTGATTCTGGGGTGGTTCTTCGGCACGGACTGTAGGGACTTTGTGTACGTCGTCCAGAACACTTCCTAGTTGGTACACTGACATGTGTTTCGACAGGGCCCACAAATTTTTCTAGTAGATCTACATTATTTCTTGACCTATGTGTACTTGATTGTCGCTCCTTTCGGGAATACAATTACTCGACTGTTCTTATTTCGGCGTATGGTAAACATCATCTGTGAAGTCACAAATTGGAAACTAGGAAGCATGTACAATGACCTGCACACAATGTCCGGACTGTGAATAGAGTTAAATATGCTCGGCTAGGTGTCCATCTGCGGAAAAAGTTCGAACTGAGAGTCGTAGCCGGGGCGATGATTAGCTGAAGCCAAGAGATTTGGTCTAGCGGGATAACTTTGACCAAAGAATGAATCCAATGAGAATCAGGAGAACAGCGATGATGGCGCCCATGATGACACGCTGTTGATTCATGCTTGCATTTGAGGGGAAGCGAAATGGATACGTAAGTTTGTGCAAACGCATTATATTTGGGCATGACTTACCGACGAATCATTCCCTTCAGCGTACCAGAAGCACGAGTGATGCTCGCATCGGCTTCATGAAGCTATTTGAACGCGTTAGACCGAAAGTGGAGGTGGGAGTGAAGCACAGCTGAGTGAATGCTGCGTACAGTGTCTCGGGTCCGAACAATGCCTTCTCTCTGTATTCTAAGACTCCTCAGGATATCGGCCCCGACATCCTCTGTCTCGAGAGCAATCCGATGGCTATCTTCGAGTCTCCGAGTACTGTCTGTAAGCGTCTGAGTACCGGCTAGCAAGCGGGTGCGTTGTGAACCAGAGTCTTCCTCCGAGAATGCCGCGGAGGTGTTGAATGCATGAGAGCCCAGCAAATCGGCACGAGTTGCTGTAGCATGCAGTGCTTTCTAGACATCCGTACTTATGAGCTAGGCGCTATGACAGTGGCTACACGGAGGGACGCACAGCTTGGGTCCTCAGCTTCGAGAGGTCTGATTTGTTTGTCTTCACACGAATTTGGTTCCGTGCTTTGAGAGACTGGGGCATGCCTTGGATCTCTACTTCCATTTGAGATATCTGAGTGGACAGGGAAGAGAATGATGAATTGTGGACGATTTCTCAAAGAATGTATGACAGTAAAGGCTCACTCACAATTTCATCCGCCTCTTCAACCTCCATGTCTACTCGCCTCAATGTTGCCTTGCGTTGTTCTAGGAGACGGGGGGAAGTAGAAGAAATAAAAATCTTAGCATTCTATATACAAAGACCCTACCCTACGGAGGACAGTTGCGAGGTCAATATCCAGCTGCGACTCACCTCCGTTCTGGTCTTTTGCTTCCCCATCAAGTTTCCCCCGAATGGATTCAATGATTGACTTGAAGTCTTGTTCGTATGATTCAAACAGAGAGGTTGGTGAGTTGTCCATAGTAACACTAGCCAGTGTTCGCTACGAAGCTTGGGTTTTGAGGCTATGTTCGGCCTCGTGACAGCCAATCGAGGAGTTGGCCGAGTACAAATATATTGTGTTGCACGATGGAGGCACTGAAGGCCAGGCTGGAGAGTGCGTCACTCGAGTATCAAGAGTTACAACAGGGTATAAAGACAGGAGTTTTCCGTTTCGTTTACTACATGGTGAACCTATCGTAATTTAGAACTGTCTTCTGCCGTCGAAGTCAGACAACGCTTGGATGCGCAGTTGAATGAGAACGACTTGGTGCAAAAGGTTAGCCTTGGTATTAGGATTGCCTACCCTCTATTTTCGTTGGTCTCTATTAGGAATTCAGGACGTTGAAACCCGAGAACACTGTTTATAAACTAGTCGGACCAGTGCTTGTACCCCAAGATCAAGAGGAAGCCAAACAGAATATCGCGAAGCGGATTGACCTCATAAAGGGTGACATGTGCGGCTTTTAAACGTCTATCTCCCAGTCTAAAGCTCAGTGCTGGAACAGAAACCGAGTCGAGAAGCAGTTGAAAGATCTGACGGAGAAATCAGAACAAAAGAAAATGGAGGTCAGTGACTCCTGCTCAGCACAAGTGGTTTTAGGAGGTTTATTGATACTCGTCTAGATTGTGGAGACACAAGCGGCCGCCCAAGGCATACAACAGAAAAATGGAAAGAAGGCTGCTGAAAAGGCTACTGCGACGTAGTTTCAGAATTTCGCTGCTCTACTTCTACTCATCCACTGCCTCGTACCCAACCCACACCGCTTCTGAGCATCCTTGGCATCCCACCAAATGCACGTCTCGATTCATTTGTTTCTCATTGATCCTATACGACGATCCACATCGACATGGATATAACCAGTAATCATCCGTGTCTTCAACGCCACGATGCATCTCAAACCTATCTAATGAAACAACTTCCGCTGCCCTCTGCTCTTTTGAAGGCTTGAATGCTACTTGCTCGTGTGAGTTATATAACAGTCTTGATTGCGGATCAGCCAGGGTGGAGTATGCAGCCCGGATGAGCGTTATGGGATGTCGATCACTGAACAGAGAGCCACCAGTGCTTTGAACATGTTGGTTCTTGTCAGGGTGGTGGCGCAGTAGAGCACGACGGTAGGCAGCTTTAATTTCGCTTTGAGTTGCACTCTTCGTCACCCCGAGCACAGAGTAGAGGCTGGGTTCACTGTGGTTAGCCAGTTTGAACAAACGCCTCGCAAGCTCGGCCAATGATATCTTGTGGTTCGGATGTGAGGACGAAGTGAATACCTGTATAAAGACCCACCGTCGGTTGCCTGGTTCAGCGTCTATATAACTTTTACATAAGTAACTCGCCCGGGCTGTTGCGACGGCCACGTGGCTGCTGTGTTTACTCGCACACTTTGGGTTTTCCGGCCTGGGTGGGAGCACCCAGTTGCGATTGAGCTATGCAGTCTCTCAGAAAGAAGAAGTTAGCCAAAGATGGTCCAAGACCTCGTGCCAATGTGGCTGTAGCACGCAGCGACGCCCGGAAGTCTCGAGTGGACGATAAGATCAAGAAGCGCATGTCAATGCGTTACGCAGAGATATCGGGGCCGACTGACATACCGGATGTGCCTAGCGTCCCGCCTTTGCCTATGCAGTTGAGACAATTTGAAGAGGCGAAAGGTGTCGAGGATATACTTGGTTATCGCCAAAGCGATGTACCGTCGAGTGGTCAGATAATAGACTTGGCGATATTCCAGCAATCGGAGTTCAATCCGGACGCATGTACGTACTAGATTGTTTTCATGCCGTCTTCACAAATCTTCATTGTCGTACAGATCTCAAATCGGCACTTGCCACCTCGACAGAGGCGGAGCTACGGAATATGCAGTCTTCCTTGAGGGGGGCGAAGGGCAATGCCTTCTCCGACATGCAGCAGACCGTGTTTAATAAGTGAGTGAAGGTTTTGGATCTGCGTTGAGCTCATGTTGACCCTCATTCGCAGTTACGAGGAGTTTGTCCACATTTCAAAGGAAATAAGTACGTTAGAGAACGACATGCTCGAGTTGAAAGAGGGGCTATCCGAATGGAAAACCATGCCAGCATTGCTCAACATTGAAGATACGACGTTGTCGTCGATGGGCAAGTGAAAGTAGTCCAATAGTCATTCATTTGCCTCAACAGAGCCCCAAATTGTCAGACAGGCGAAGGGCTAATAGATCATCTGTGGCTGATCTCGAAAAACTTTACGCTACCCAACTCTCGACTCTGCACATGACCATTGAGGGCTCTACCAAGTTTGTCCCGGCAATCCCAGGACGGCATATCGTCTTGGAGGTTGAGAATTCATGGTCCCTCAACCCAGCCACTTATAAGGTGGAATATGCTGTGCATTTCGTACTGCTGGATGATTGCTTTCTTGTTGCGAAGCGGAGAAGAAAACGATCGGGCGAGGGGGGAAAGCTTGTTGCCGAGCGTTGTTGGCCGTTACGCGACATATCCGTAGTCGACGTTAAAGATTCTCCTGGTAAGTTCCCATTGATCGCACTGATATAGCGTTACTGAGGCTCGGTGGAGACGTCACTAGGGCATTCAAGGTGCGAAAAGGAAAGGACTCCTTTGTTTACCGCTGTGAAAAATCATCGGATAAGAGGGTGTTGCTGTCCACATGCAAGACCACATCGGAAGAGTTAGCGGCTCGCCGCCGCAAGGAGCGCGAAGGCGAACAGGAGCGTCGCAGAAGTCTGTGGACTGCTGGGGAGGTATGCCGCTCTTGGTATTGCACACGAGTTCTCGCTGAAGCCGTGAGTTAGCGGGCGTCGATGTACAATGTGCTTGAGGTAGATCATAACGCTGGAGTCTCATCATTACCCGTCCTGTCGCGATGCGAGAGAGGATCAGCGGAACGAGCTGAAGTGGAGACCCAAGCAGTTGGTGACTTAACTGACGACTTAACGGTAGCTATTGCTTTACGGCGGTGGGGAGAAGCGGTGGAGATTGTCGAGCGAGGTAAGGTTTTAGGCCAATTACAATACCATCACAGGCATGATGTTGTCCCATAGGCCAAAAGAACCTCGCGGCATTGCCCTCTTTGGCCCCCAAACTGACGTCACTCATTCCCGCATTGACTTCAGCTCTCTTACACTCACTCTCAGACCCCTCACTCAGTAAGTCAGCTGTCATGGGTGTCACGTCTCTCCTTCTCCGTTTGAACGAAGGCATTGCTGCTCGTAACGTGTTACTTTCCGCGCGCGGTTCGCTCATCAAGAAACGCACCAGGATGATTGCATTCGAGGGTGAAGTATCCAGCTATATTGCTGAGCTCGCATTTGTGGTCTTCACTAGCATCAAGCACACGGCTAATTGGTACTTGGCTAGTTTTGAGGAGAACGAGATGGCATCAAGTATGTTGTGACATTGATACCTTGAGAACTGATTGCTCATTTGAACGATTCAGCACTGATCCAATGGGCCAGAGAGCAGATTGAATGCTTTGCAACTATGTTCAAGCGGCAAGTGAACGGTCCGCACATTGGACAACAGGATGTTGATGCGTCAATCTTGGCGATGCTAGATCAAAACAAGAAGGTATTTAGCTTTCTCCTGTATGACCTTCCGACGCCGAGTCCTGTTATTTAGATTTTACATGATAATGGAATGGATTTCGCGCATCTCCTCATGACTCTGATAGAGCCGCTTGCTCTGTCATCTTTGACGTCTGTACCCTTGCCATCTCCTTCCAATGCATCAATCCCTCCCCTTGGATCTCCCCAGCCTCCAACGCTAAATATCTCGACGTCTCCACTCAAACTGTCCAACACCTCAGCGCGTGCACCGTCACCACTTCCGTCCCGCCTTACTGTCTCCGAAAAGTCAAAGAGCCGGAGCGTGACACCTGATCCTTCCATTCCTCCCCCCCCAGCGCGTTCCAGACCATTAAGAGGCCCCGGTCCACGGGCCACGACGGGCCCATCCACCCCGACGTGAGCCTTGTCAGGTGGACTCAGGAGTCTCATCGCGTTGTTTGAGTACTGCCTTAGTGCCTCACATGTACAGGCTGATTCACATATAACTACCTAATCTCGTGCTTATTTTCGCTGTTGTGATTGTGCCCTAATGTGCGATGTTTCTATCAGCACACTCAGATATGCCGCTTATAGCACAGGAATAACACGACGTTAGCTATTGACTCCTTGTTGTTTTGAATGAGCAGCATACTGCCGGATTCCATTCAATAGTCCACGTGACGAATTTCGGTTCTGCACTCGCTCCTTGGTGCAAAAGCAAGCCCGGCAAAGAATACTACTCACTGCGCGACTTTTATCCCATTTCACTCAGCAGTTGTGAGGGGGACTGTGTGAGTCACCGGGATGGCACACAACCTTATTAAGAAACGAAAAAAAGGCCCATTGATTAGAAAAAAAATGGGTTCGAGATATTTACAAGAACTACCTACTGCCTAATTTTCATCCCTTTCCATCCAGCTGTTGTTGAGGAAAATGGGGGGGGGACTGTGACAAATGTGAATTTATAAAAAATGGGAATTAGGATTATCGGTGGTAAAGTAACCTGTAGGAGTAAAATACATGCCTTTTAAAAGAAACCGCAAGTCCGTAGCTCATTTGGTTGGAGCTATTCTCTGTCAGGCTTGCTTTTGGAACCAAAACTCATCATGTGGACTATTGAATGGAAAACGGCAGTAGTGGAGGCTGAATATTCCCATGCTTTGTTACATAAACAACAAACAAATCGGTCGAAACAACACTCACAACACTCATGGAAACGGACTACAGACTATGCAGCAGGTTAAGAAAAAGGAGGAAGAAATCGACATTGGGGAAAATCCAAATACATCAGCAGTGCAATTCTCAGCACTTGAAACCTTCAACAACCTTTGGTGTTCATGAAGTTTCAAGGAAGAGGAGTAACTCACAACTACTGGAGAGCAGCAACCATCGCTTTGATATGGGCAACAAGTTCTTTCAACCTTGCCTTACGGTCCACTTCCAAAAGATCGAAATCCCATCTTTCTTTGGGTGCAACGTTGACAATAAAGTTGTCACTGGGTGGGATACATGGTGGGGTGACAGAGCGATTGGCAACACTATACTTGTAGATACAGAACCGCGTGCCCAAAACGCTTAGTCCATAGAACATGGGTATAGGAATACTTCCAGTGAAGTTGAGGAATCTTTCGTGCATCTGGTCATCCACCTCCTTGCACACTAAGTCTTTGTCGTAGGCTACCTGTGGCTTGAATTCGATAAAAACAACGGGGAGTCCGTGCCTCGTAATAACGTGGGGGGTGGGTACTGTACTAACATGACCAACAACCTGTCACGCGTCACGCTGGCCTCGAGGTCCGGCTCAAATCAAGGTTTTGTCATGCGTCATGCTGGGAAAAAGGTTGAGTTAGTTGTGTCATGCTGTAAACCTGGTTTCAGGGTGGCTGTGCAAACTGTAATTCAAATTTCCCTTTTTCGGAAATAAATACATTCAAAAAATGGCCATTTCCTTGTCCAAATGGCGCACCTGTCTGGCCCACTTTCTGCGGCCAAAGTCACTTCTGTGGGCTTGAGGGGGGTATCCTCAGCACAGGTTGATGCAACTTGTAAGGTGCCATTGCAGCCTAATCAGCCAGGATCCAGGCCCAATAGGCCTACTATGGGTAAAAACTACCTGGTGGCTTGGGATATTATTTCTGTATGAAATAGGTTCATTTGTGCAAGAACAAATTTGTTTGCAAGCGCAAAACCATCCATATGTGATATCCGGGTGCAGGAAATTTTTCAGAAAGGCGCTCTAAGCACATTTTCAAATTCTTTTGCATTTAGTTACTTATTATGGCAATACCCGATAGTATTGCATTCCTTTTATGGTAAGTTCGCCGGTTGGGTGTCACGCATCAACATGAGCTGCCGGTTCAGTACTTTTTGTCATGCTCCGGATGCAACTGGTAGTTGGCTGTGTGAGTACAGTAATACCAAGAGACCTAGCGACGTGTTTGAACTGCAGAGCAACCTGATAATCCTCGGAAGCTGGAAAGAGCTCGGTAAGGAGGGTAATGAATGGCCCATAATAGTTGCTTTCCTCGGTGGTGAACTTGTTGACGAGTTCAAACTGTAAGGTGACATAGCTTGGCCAAGTCATATCTCAGACCAATAATTAGTAGAGCACAGGATGGTGACATACTATCACAGCCCACTTACCGATGTTGCAAGGTTGGAGGGAGCTTTGAGATATGAAGGTTTTTGTGACTTGAGTGGCTCCCATCCTGTGTGAAGGCGTTACCACTTGACACTCTATGCACGTATATAAACTGGCAACGAACTAGTTAGTTCCCACTGTTCCCCTTGGCCAGCGACTTGGGGAGTGTTTTGCTTGACTGTCAGCATCAGCCGCTCTCCATGTGCATTAACCCCTTGATTCCTCAGGCCTGGTGGTCAGTCATATACGATTGCCAGCATGTCTCTCTGTCTCTACTGCTGGCTAGTTAACGATCTGCCTAACCATATATTCCAGGTTAACATCCCAGAATTAGATAGTGTTAGCGACCTCCAGAAACTCATCAAGCAGGAGAAGTCCATCACTCTCAAAGACGTTGAGCCAGACACCCTCACACTCTGGCAGGTTTCCATCCCAGATGATGAAAACCCTGAGAATTATCTCAGCAAGCTTGATGACAGACCACTGTCCCCTAGGGAGACTTTGTCCTGCCTGTGTATTTGACAGCCTGGTAGTACCGTACTACTGCTGATGTATGGGACAGCTGATTTTTTTCCTTTTATGGGTCGTGGGAATTTCTTTTATATGGGTGGCTGTGCTGGCTGACCAGCTGATCCCTTGGTTGCCGATCAGCTGGAGAGGAGCTGATTAGAGCTGATGTATGGGTGGCTGTGCTAGCTGACCAGCTGCATGGTTGTTGCATACTCTATAACTGGTGGGACACCACCTGACATGGCACACTGTCAGATTGCTCAGATTTTAGTTCAGATTGGATTTGGCTTATATACAGCATATATCTAGTATGAAATAAGATCTACTTACTGTCATATCCCAGAATTGTGAGGTCTCAGTGGGTAGCTCAGCACACAGAGCTGTAAGTGATACAATGGTGTGTATTTTACAGTAGTGCGTAAGCAGTTACCCGGAGGTTACCACTTACCCATGTGACTATATGTGTCAGAGACCAGGTCGAGACGAAGGAGTGTCTCCATGGCGGAGGGCTTCGGCCTCAGCAACTTGTGCCAGGAGCGCTGTGCCAAGTAACACGTCTGTGCCCTAACTTACTAAACTGGCAACCAGAACTAAAGAGGGTAAACTCTAGTTGATTTTATTACTGGAGTGTAAACTATGTACAAGTTAAGTATATATAGTTACAGCGAGGGCGGGTCCGCAAATGGTGGAGCCGAGCTAACGGGGTTAGACATTAGCCGATTAAATATTACCAACGAGTCGGGTTATGGGGTTAACGGATAGGCAGGCGATAACCCAGAAACGGAAAGGAGGGATAGGCCTGAAGGTGGGCTTGCAGGGCAAGCAAGTGTATTGTCCAGCAGAGGCGGGAGTGCGCTAGCAGACGTTGGAGCTGTCCGGAAGCCTTTGGGGCTCCGTACTTAGGGAGGCGTAGGTAATAAATTTTGAAAGGAGGGGGTGGTGACCATCGATGGGTACTGAGGGGGTTGCGGAATATGGGAGCTCCGAGGTTAGTGGAGAGGGAGCGGGAGTAGACCGGAGGGATTGGAGGGATCGGAAGTCGATGGCCGGGGATGGATATGACAATATGTATCTTAATTACATGTGGCTTGTGGTTCGCCCTGACATCCTCCCCCCTTGTGTTGCATTTGTGATGCATACAATGTTAATGATGAAGAGAATAAAATTTAAGAATTGAGTTACATTGAGTTTGAAATTATCAATGAGCGTTTTTATTGTCACCACTTTAAAGTGGGCGATTTGTACATGTTGGTGAGAGGGAGAGGAAAAAAAAGGTTTTAAGGAATAAGTGAGTGTGGGCTGTCACTTTGAAGTGAATGGCGATACATGGGTATCACAGAGAGGAAAGTAATGGAGTTTGTTGAAAATGAATTTCGACCCAAAGGTTGTATGTCTTTGGTGTTCCTCACTTGTTCCGTGAGGGTTCATGTGTAAATGGTGTTTACACACAAGCAGTGGTGGATGTGGGTTTTTTGATGAAGTAGAGATTTCCGCAATTGTTACTTGCAGTTCCTTGCATACAATATTGTGTGCAGGGCCTTGAGTTGGGGGAAGGTGTTTTCATGGGCACCTCTATGGCATATTACCATGTCACTTTCCCTTTCCTCAAGGGTAGAGTTATTGCCCTGGAGGAGGGTTTTCCTCCGGGTTGTTCATCTGGACATCCGATTGCTGTGTCGGATGCAATGATGTAGCCTGGGCTACATTGTCGAGCTGTGGGCTCGATGAAGTGGGCGCTCCCTGGGTGGGAGCGGGTTGTTGTGTTCCTGAGCTACTTGGCTCAGGTGTAGAGTACGGTAGGTCTACCGTTCTTCCTGTGGGGAAGGGTGGTCGTTGGCCTGGTTGTCCAGTGCAGAGACTTGCATCTCTTTCCCGGTATTTGGAAGCTTTCGCTTCCCATTCCGCAGTTCTTGCAGCATGTTCCTCAGGAGTCCTGAGTGGTTTGAACTGGGATTTTATATAGGCAGCTTTGCCTAGACTTTCCCAGGAGATTTTTCCCTTGTTCTCCAGGGAATTGTACTCCTCTGCGAGTTTTGCAATACTCGGGAGTCCCAAGAAGTATTTCTTGGTTTCCTTTGCTTTTTTGCGAAGGACTCTATGTACCTTGCAACTTTTGAAGGCAGCTTCAGCCTGTTCATACCAGTGTACGAATTCTTTCCCACTCACGCTTGTCCACCAAGCATATGCAGCGTCATGCGCCGCTTCTGACCCGCTATTCTCCTCATGGGGAAGTTGGGGTCAATTGTTACATCGACTGGGGCTTTGACTTTGCCAAACTCATTGAGTTCAGCGGTCTCGTATAACATGTGGACACTTCCCTGCAGGGTAGCTTGCCCATAGGGTGCTGAGGTACTCAGCGGCCTGCCGCCTCTGGCAGTGGTCCCCGTTTTAGGGTCTGCCGTTGGTTGCCTACCGCTCTCCCTCTTCCCCTCGACATGGGTTTGCCCTTATGCAACCCGGACAGGGTTGGGTTGTTGAAGATAATCGCATGTTTTCGAAATCGAGTGTTTTAGAAGTGGTAATGATGAGAAATGGCAGAGCAAAAGGAAGTGCCTTATCCCACAAGGAATACAAGCACTTTCGTCTGAGGACTCATCAGCCTTTTGCCCTTAAGGTATTTATACTTTAGGGAGAGGTCTGTGCACAGAAACAGTGGGATGTTTCATTAGAAACTCCCAACATCCTTATATAAGCATTTCCAATGCTTAATAAGCATGCACCAAGGCTAATCCGAAAATAGAAGTAATATATAGTTTATATAATGTATATAAATGTTTATATTATAGGTTAAAAACACCCACTGGTTCAGGTTGGGGGGGACCCTCAGGGCCCTCTCAAAATCCCCCCTATCGTACACAACTTTGAACTATTGAAACGACAGAAGCCAAACCAAACAACATGTATCATTGGATTTCACCATGTTTGATTTGCAATCATTTGAGTGACATGGTATCTCAATCACACATCAAAAGACAACATGATAATAATTGCGTGCAAGATTTGATCATGGGTCAATGTACAATGTGTTATATGTAATGGTGTTGATATACTTGAGGGTTGTTGTATTATTGAGCATGTGTGAAAAGATGACATGATAATTTTCTGCCAAATTTGATGATGGGTCAATATACAATTGTTATATAACGGTGTTGGTATGTTTGAGGGATGTTGTACTGTACTCACACGACCAACTACCAGTTGCATCCGGAGCGTGACACCCAACCGGCGAACTTACCATAAAAGGAATGCAATACTATCGGATATTGCCATAAAAGTAACTAAATGCAAAAGAATTTGAAAATGTGCTTAGAAAATTTTCCTGCACCCGGATATCACATATGGATGGTTTTGCGCTTGCACAAATGAACCTATTTCATACAGAAATAATATCCTTGCTAAGCCTACCTAAGAGGTAGTTTGTAGGCCTATTGGGCCTGGATCCTGGCTGATTAGGCTGCAATGGCACCTTACAAGTTGCATCAACCTGTGCTGAGGATACCCCCCTCAAGTGTGACTTTGGCCACAGAAAGCGGGCCAGACAGGTGCGCCATTTGGACAAGGAAGTGGCCATTTTTTGAATGTATTTACTTCCGAAAAAGGGAAATTTGAATTACAATTTGCACAGCCACCCTGAAACCAGGTTTACAGCATGACACAACTAACTCAACCTTTTTCCCAGCGTGACGCGTGACAAAACCTTGATTTGAGCCGGACCTCGAGGCCAGCATGACGCGTGACAGGTTGTTGGTCATGTTAGTACAGTATTCCCAAGTGCGTGTGAAAAGACAACATGATAAATAATTTTCTGCAAGATTTGATGATGGGTCAATATACAATGTTATATCATGGTGTTGGTATATTTAAGGGACGTTGTATTCCCAAGCGCACATTCAAGACGATATTATTTCCTACAGAACCCGGCAACATTTCCTAGGACAAGCACTCAGCCTGTCATATCCATACAATCCCGACCTCCGCTCCGGGCTCCTGGAACTCCGAACTCCGACTTCTGGAGCCCTACTTCCCTTCCATCACTTTCTCCTTGCCGACTCCCAAGAGTTTATCCCACCTCCGGCTCAGACACCACCTTCGGTCCGACTCCGGAACATTCCGGGTCCGACCCCAACCTCGACACCTTCCAGACGAGTACGCAAAACCTATGCTCCCGACTCCGGACCTCCGCTCCGGCATCCCGTTCACATCTCATCTCCGGAACCTCCGGTCTTAGCTCCGACCTCGGACTTTGACCCCACCTCCGCTTATACCCATTGTATTGGTTAGCTCATTCCATTTAATTACCTTTGCCAATATTCCGGAGTTTAACCTCCGAGTTCGGACTTTCCGGACTTACTCCGGACCTTGCAACTATTGCATTGTCCATTTCAATTCCGCTATTCTCCCTCATTCCTATTTGGGCTGCTGCTTCCTTTCTATTCAGTCAGCTAGCCATTCCCGACTCCCATCCTCCTTCCTTCCTTCTTGGGCCTTGGCCCTTCATTCCTCCTTTGGGAAACACCATTGAGTCAAACACTTGACCCTCGGTGTTGTTCCTCTTTCCATCTCCCTTTGTCTCCTTTTGTCCTACCCTTGTTCCTTTTGATTCCGGACCCCCCTTATATACAATGTACCTAGTAACTTGTAACCTCAGTCCGAAATCGACATGAATTCCCCCAAGAGACTTTCCCTCTGCTAGATCCGAAATTAAGGACCCCCAGGACAACCAGCAATGGCACAGCGCTCCGCCTGAGTTGCTGAGGCCGAGGTCCTTCCATGCTAAGTCTCTGATTCCGCTCTGGAGTCGTCCGAATCCACCCGTTCTAACACAGCCCAGGATTCTCTGCTTCATCTTCTGATGACTCAGAATCAGCACGGAGGGATGCCTCTGAAGCTTTGTGTGCCAAAGAAGTGGAGGGCACTCGCTCCTTCATGGGTGGTACTCGGAAAGACTCCACAATGTGAAGGGAACGGCACTCATCACCCAAGAACTATCGCACTGCACAGAACACAGGGCACATGTGTGGAGGTTGGGCTAGGTGCTTGGAAATGGTCGCAAGCCTAGACTCCAATACCTCCTTCGGATGGCGCCTCCAGTCCATCTGATAGCGACTCCCAGGCTTGAATGCATTAGGTTTGCAGGCCTCTACCAGGTGGAGTTGGGCAAGGACAGCAATGGTGACCCCTTTCCTCTCTATAATAATAATATTATCATCATAATAATTGTGATACAGATAGCTTCAGGAAGCACTCACGGAGCTTGGTGTTGAACGTGGTCATCATCTCCGCATTTTTTCCTTGCTCAGCAGTATGGGAGGCCAGTTTGATGGACTGAGTTCGGGCCTTCTGTTCGTGTCTCTGCCACCAAGGACTGTCCTCCACCAAAATACCGCAAATGTATATCAACCAGAGGTGGAAGAGTGGTGGCTTTGCTTTCCACCCTGATTGAGTCTTCCCATATTCACAGTCCCATACAAGGCTGTTGGCATATTCAACCATGTTTGCACCCTTTGCCCGTTCCACTGGAATCTTCTCTTCATTGTGTTTGACCTGATGGAAGGGAGCCCATGCAGTGAGGATGAACGCAGCAATGAGGCTGATGTGGAATCTTGCATCTGACATATCATAGCTCTTGGTGACCCAATTCGTGAGCTCCTGAGACATCGGGTCCTTCAAGATGTCTTGCTGGATCCAGTCAAGTGGAAGTCGAGAACGTTTGATGACCCATGTAAGGTCACCAAGCCTTGCGTCAGTCCAGTGCCATGATGCCTGTGGGTTTCCCTCTGTAATCTGGGTGCTGGCAATGGAGGCTGCAAGGCGATCTGGATCAGACATGGTTCCCAGATCAGGTCGTCTTGCATTCCTGCTGGGGTATATCAAGTCCGCCCATGAATCATACTGTGCCCATTGACTTGACCTCCCTGTGGGAAACATGGTGGAATGTGGATATCGATACATCGTCTTGAATCCGTCTGAAAGACAACAGCCTCAATGCAGAACTCCTGTTGCCCTTGTGAGGATGATGTGTGTGGGCAAAGGTCTCGCAATGCCTGGAAGACTTGAGTGCAGACTTCCGCAGCAGACCCTTGTCAAAATCCAAGGCCCTCCTTGTTGATGATGATTTTTGAACAAGGTCAGGCAGTGTGACCATTGCATACAAGCCATGGACCCATTCATAGACATCAATGTGGGGCAGGTTCTTCAAAATTGAGTGTATGGCTTGAGAGGAGGTGGCAAGTGTGAGAATCTGGCACTCTGTGGCCACTTTAGAATTGTCAAAGGGGTGTGCCCTGGACAAGAGTTCCTTGAGTGCATCAGCTTGGATATTGAGGCGACGTCGGTCATCTCGGTCTGCAGTTGCATAGCTTGCATTCAGGGATTTCTTGATTCCCTTCTCAATTTCATAGAGGGCATTTGTCTCGAGTGTTTCAACCACATAACTGGCTAGTGACTGAAGGATTTTCTCCTCCCTTGGGAGGGAGGTGGGGAGATGTTCGGTGGTGTGAAGACCAAGGTGGATATGCTCAATGAAGCAGGTGGCTTTCATATGCTGTGAGTGAAAGTGAAGGGGTGGGTCAGAACTCGGCAATGGCAATTCATGCATGATTGAAAAAATGGGTTATGGGTTATTATCGTAGTTCCATTCGCACATGGAATGACAACAACGTCTCTGTGGTGAATTTTTAGAAAAGCAGTTGTACTTCCATGCGAGCACAGAACTATGACAATAATTTCCCTACAGAGACTTAAGAGAAAGGTCATACTCCCATGCGAGCACAGCACTATGACATTAATTTCCTCCAGAGACTTAAGAGAAAGGTCGTACTCCCATGCGCACACAGAAGAATGACTATCCCAAGGAGTAAACAAATAGACACTCACATCATATGTGGCCTGAGAGTAGTTGTACAGAACAACACACTTTGATGCAAAGCGTGGGACTCCAGCAGCATCTTTCGGCCATCTGGATGCATCGACATCAATCTTTTCCATTTGTTCAAGGTGGATCCCCACCATGTCACTCAGACATGGGAATCCAGTTTCCTTGATTCCAACAGAAAGCAAAAGAGGGTCCATCACATATGTGGACAGCACCCTTCCTGCACCACAGAACCCAAAGCTACCAGCTCGTTCCAGTGCTGAAAGCAGCTCTCACAGCAGCAAGTTTGCTGGATGTCCCTCTCTCTTGTGTCGGACTTCGGATTGGTAGATGTGATCTATGGCCCAGAAGAGAGGGTATGTGGTCCAAAGATATGTCTGCTGAAGGACCTAAATCATCCCCATTCCCACCATATTAGACATGTCAAAGATGATCATGACCAACACATACCTCAGGTTTGAAGATGACCAAATTGTGCCTGAGTTTGTCTACCAATTCCGGATCAACCCATGTGTCCACAAGGGGGGTGAGAATCTTCTCGAAAACAGCTCTGGAGATCAACCATCAATACAAAGTACAAAACTTCCAATATATCATTCTGACCTTCCAGTCCGTTTCTCTTGTGCAATTCCAGAAAAGTTGATGGTCCAATAATTCTCCAGTCGGAGATCAGTTGGTGGTCGCAAGTCAGGATCATTGGATGTGAGTTTGTGCTTCATTCGGTCGAATGGCATCCCCCGCTCCACATAGGAGGACATCTCTTCAGCCTTTGTGCGTTCTGTCAGTTGGGCATATTGTCCAGCAAGAGCAGCAGTTACGGCTCCATGCATGGTTTCAGCTGCTCCTGACCTCCATGCAATCCGATGTTGCAACTCATTGTATCCCTGGAAAAAACACACCCTTTAGGGGCTCCACAGCATGCTGATGGAGGAGGTCCTCAACCTCCTGGGTGTCAAGTTCATCACCACCAAGCAGTTGGTCATCATCAGATTCTCGGTTTGAGGGTGCATAGTCACTATCGTTATTGTCATCATCACTGTCTTCTCCAATGGGGTCATGGCTTTGTCTTTGCCTTGTTTGAGAAAGCAATTCACTGTTGATTCCCTGTGCAGCCCTGTGGAATTCAGGGAGGATGGTGTTTGCTTGCACATGCCCAAAGCATGTCATGAATGCTTGTGGGTAGACAGAGATGGACACATTTCCAGTCCGGTCACCATAATGGAAGTGGTCAAACATCGTTGGGGCATCGTGCAACTGGAAGAGAGGGCCCCCTGGTGCAGCTGTTGCACTGAAAAATTGGACTCTATGTTCAATCCTATTTTTCTCTGAGTCATAGATGTTAACATCATTTCCATCTATGTCCTGGTATGGCAGATTGGTGAGATCAGTGATTGGTTCATTATTTTCATCATAAACCTCATCATGCTCTTCTAGGATAGTTGCAGGGTCCACGTTGACTGTCTTAGCAACAGCAACGGCACTAAAGCCCCAAAACAAAATCAATGCACACACTTGTGAGCCATCATACATTTGATGACTTACCACAAGTGGGTGGCAATGGCAAAGCTCCAACGTGATATGTGCTCGAAAGAATAGTTTTGTCCAAAGGTAGTGATGGTTTGCTCCAAGTTGACATCACTTGTGTCAAGCAGTAGGTCTTGACCATATTTCATCAAGACAATCAATGGTATGGATTCCTTGAACCAAGGATTGTGATGCCATGTCTCAGGTGCATTCTCGAAGAAGTGTGATTCATATCGTTGAACCATCGTGTCATGCATAGACCGGACACTGGAGAGATTTAACATCGCTTTTGATGATTGCTGTGAGCTAGTGCTAGTGAAAATGCATCGACATGAGCAGAGAGACATTGAATGCTCTGAGGCTTGCTTGACTTACACCCAATCTGTGATGGCCTTGTATTGGTCAAGCCTCCCAGACAAATCTATGTAGTAGTTGTCATGTGTGGAGTAGCTCCTGTTGGGGATACGGCCCATTGCCCAGAGAATTATGCAAGTGGCCATATGGACATGTGCGGGAGTCATCTGGGTGCACTCGGATTGGGTACCCAGTGCAATTGGATCATTATCATTATCTAGGAATGAGTGAGGTGCCATGGCAAGAAAGATGTTGTCATGATCCTGTGTACCGATGAAGAGCATCCTGCCTGTGGGGTCAAAGCCAAGGTCACCCCTGTGGTTGAGGAAGATCCCAACAAGTTGAGGTGGAAGCACCAGGTGGTATTCACATTAATGGAAGGGGGAGGAAGGATCACATCAAAACCGATGTGATCCGGGACTTTGAGGGAGAAGTCGATGTGGTGCCCTGCAGTGCGGTAGGCAAAGTGTTGGGTGACACCGTCTTCATAAAAACTGTGATCGACATTGAGCCTGTACTTTGTCCTGAGAAGGCGGAAGGCCCTTCCACCATCCTTGCAGTTGTAGAGTCCTTGCAGCTGGCTGAGGTTCAGCAATTGTTCAGGCCATTGATGGTATCGGTCTCGTTCAGGGATCCTCTATAGAATGAGGGGGAAATAGGCTATTGCCACTGCACCCTCGAGACTTTCTGGGCTTGAAAAAAAAGAGAAAGATCACACCTTTCTAACGGTACCAATCATTTGAAATTTGGTTCAGCCATTGAAAAGTTATAAGCATCAACATTTCTGCATCCTGCACCCTCAACGTGAAGCCTTGATGTTTTCTTGGTCAGTTTTGAGAATTATGGGCGTCAATAGGCATTCCAGATAGCTGTAGGCGAGATCTACAAGATGAAAAAAAGAGCATGTGAATAGCTGCTCTGGGTAAGGAGGTATGGGAAAAATAAAATTTAGAGGAAAAAAATAGGGAAAAATGCGGGGTGTTCTGGTGTGGAACATGGTGAGGAGATAGAATGGGGAGATATTTTATTTGGAATTTTTTAGGGAGGTTTTTTTTTGAGGGTGCACTTGGGTGCAGAGGGTGCAAGTGAGGGTGCAAGTGAAATTAAAAGTGAAATATCTAAGTGAAGAAAATGGATATAAATATGGGGTCTTTTTCAGTATGATATATTTAGCAGAGAGAGTGGAATAGAAAATTTTAATATTTTCCTTTTTTGGAAAATAAATTTCGAGGGTGCAAGTGAAATAAAAGTGGAATAGGTTTTGACTGGATGGATGAAAATTGAAATGATTGATAGGGTTAGGAAGGTGTGATTTTAGTGAAAATTATAAAAGCAAAAAAAAGAGAGGTGGCTGTGCAGTTTTTGCACAGCCACAGAGGAAATTTTTTGATAAGTAGAAAGTGGAAGGTGAGAAAGGTGGGAGAAGAGAGCCAGAAAGGTTAGAACTGAAGTTAAGAAAAGGACTTGAGAAGACAACAAGGTAACAATGCAACAATGTGACAACAAGACAACTAGACAAGGGAAGAAGCAAAAATGCAAAGCTAAGGAACTAAAAAAAGTGAGAACTGAAGTTTGAACTTGAACTTGAGAAGACAACAACACAACAATGCAACAATGGGACAAGGCGACAACTAGACAACTAGACAAGGAAGCAAAAAAAGGTTTGGACTTGGGAACTGTGAAACTAAAAAAAAGTGAGAACTTTGGTTGAAGTTGAGAACTTAAGAAGGTGGGATGGAAGAAGGCAAGAAGAGGACAGGAGGACAAGAAGTGGGTACTGTGGAACTGAGGAGGGGACTGTCAGGGATGCATCCAGGGTGGAGGGGGCCTGTTAGATTGGGCGGATTCGGACGACTCCGGAGTGGAATCGGAGACTTAGTGTGGAAGGACCTCAGCCTCAGCGACTCAAGCGGAGTGCTGTGCCATTGCTGGTTGTCCTGGGGGTCCCTAATTTTGGATCTACAACCATAAGGCCAAAGTGACGAGAAAATCCCCAACCCCAACCCCAACTGCCAAGCCCTGTCATTCTTGTTCCCAAAAGAGTATCCTGGATCAATCAGGGTTAATAGCCATGACCCCTGCATCATGGGGTCCTTTGCCACTTCCTCCATCAGTAAATCCTGTCCCCTCATCCAGCTCTTTAGCACCCATGAGCCCCCAGCCTTCACACTCTCCTCTCCCTCAGAGCCCACCACCTTCCATATCCATATCCCACTCATGGCACAGGAGACAACCTAGTAAGGAGTCCTTATTGCCTCCCCTAGAGAGTGTCAGAGACCAGGTTCGAGATGAAGGAAAGTCTCCGTGGTGGAGGGCTTTGGCCTCAGCGACTTATGCCAAGAGTGCTGTGCCTAGTAACACGTCTGTGCCCTAACTTACTAACTGGCAACCAGAACTGAAGGGGGGTAACTCTAGTCGATTTTATTACTGAAGTGTAACCTATGTACAAGTGGGATATATATATGGTTACAGCGAAGATGGGTCCGCAAATGGCAGGCCGAACAGAGCGGAGCTAACGGGGTTAAACATTAGCCGACTGAATATTACCGACGAGTCGGGTCGCAGGGTTAATGGAAAGGTGGGTGATAACCCAGAAACGGAAAGGAGGGATAGGCCCGAAGGTGGGCTCTGCAGGGCAGGCGAGTGTATTGCCCAGCAGAGGCGGGGGTGCGCTAGCGGACGTCGGAGCTGTCCAGAAGTCTTCGGGGCTCCGTACTTAGGGAGGCGTAGGTAATAAATTGAAAGGAGGGGGTGGTGACCATTGAGGGGTACCAAGAGGATTGCGGAATACGGGAGCTCCAAGGTTAGTAGAGAAGGAGCGGAGGTAGACCGGAGGGATCGGAGGGACCGGAAGTCGATGGCCAGGAATGGATATGACAGAGAGGCAGTCCAATTCAGAGCTCTCCACACATGATGATGCCAGCCTTGTTGGGCCGACAGCCTCAGCATCTAGCCTGACCAGGAGGAATCCACCCAGGAAGAGGTCAAGGAAGAGTTATGATACTGAGGAAGCGCAGATCAAGGGAAAACAACCCAGAAAGGTAGCTGCTCCAAGACAGGTGAGAACAATATTATGCAAAATCACAACTTATTTCATCATGTATTTGTGAGAAGGAAAGCTCAAGGAAGAAGGGCGGTGCACGGGGCAATCCCCAGGATGAGTCGCCATTGGTGACTCATCCTGAAGTTTCTCCTGACATGTCGGAAAATGCTCCAAGTTCACAGCCAAGGGCAGTAGAGATTTCACCTGCTGTCATGGTAGGGTGGTAAAAGTGCTTCATGGTGTGATTTCTGATGTACTTCTGCAGTCAGGACTCACTCCAAAGAGGTTCTTCAAATTGACAGCGTTTCATGGTTTGGTGGGTTGTTATTGTTATGTATTTGACACATGGACTGACAGAATGAGAATGAGTAGCCATACAATGACACAAAGATGGCCATTACCACTGCTAGAGGCAAGGACTATATCGAGGACCTGGCTTACTTTGTCCATCCATCTTCCATGCCCAACCTCTCAACTTTTAAAAAGGGGGAACTCGAAATACTCCAATCCTCTGAACCCTCTGAGTTCTGTCAGGTTATTAGAGAGCTGTTCCTTGTGGAAGGCAGGGAAAAGGAGCCATTCCTGCTTTCCACTGTGCTGCATGTCGCAGAACTTGACCGATGCACCCCTGTTCAGGTGCTGTGTTGGATCTTGAGTAAAAAATGCCAGTTGGCTCATTTAATATGTTTAGATATGGATGACCCCGATCCACATGCAGAAAACCGCATCTACTCCACCACACTCTTGAGTGCATTTGCTCAGATGGAGGACCTGATGAAAGGCCAGATACTTAATGTGCTATCTCTGCCTAGTATGAGAAGCCCACCACCTGGGAGTGCGAGCAGGTGTGTCGGAAGTGTTAAAGTGGATGTGTCCCAAGTTGACATCTTGATTTTAGCCTTCTTGCAGATGACTATTTGGCAATAAATTCTACATTGTAACAGGTCTATCGCCTAGACTTGAGACAGAGAGAAAGGGGGAGGGTGGTAGTGTGTGTGGGTGTGGTTCATGGAGCCGGGTTTTGGTCCTGGGCGCTACTGAGTCTGCAAAAACCTCAAACAAACACTCACCTACGTCTCTCTTGGACATCAAGGCTGAGTATTATGATGTGAGGGGTCTTAGACGTGAGCCACTAGCTCAGAGGGGGCGTTAGGGTCGTGGATGGCATCTTTGCCGCTTGGATGTAACTTCTGCTTGTCCCTTCACAGGTCTATTTAGTACTAACTAGTTATGTACAAGCTGTTATCTATTTTATATGAGTTGGAAATGGAATGAATGGAATGGGGAAATGTAAACGGGCCGTTAGGCAACCGTAAATGATGAATATCCAATTGGGAACAAAGAAACAATAAAAGAAATATGAATGAATGGGGAATATATGATAACGGATCCGAAATGGGAATTGTGAAAGTTAACTCCGCAACACTTCGCTACAGCGCCCGCCTATCCTCCCGTCAGCAACCTCCTCGTCTCCAGCTTCCCAACGAGCCCTTATTCATCCCAATTGGTGCAGTACTTCTTGAGATGTGGCCATTGACAGGTGCTGTCAAGACCATGTGAGACTATACTCCGTGCTGAACCATCCGGGTATGGGATTGCCATTCTGGGAAATGCCCCGGGGGTGAAGAAGGATGGTAGAGCATCACTATCAGGTAGAAAAACGGCTGGGTTGTATGTGTGGTTATGGAGATCTAGAGAGGGGGTGAAATTGGCAGCATGGTTGGGTGTGTGTCAGAGACCAGGTTGAGACGAAGGAGTGTCTCCGTGGTGGAGGGCTTTGGCCTCAGCAACTTATGCCAGGAGCGCTGTGCCAAGTAACACGTCCATGCCCTAACTTACTAAACTGGCAACCAGAACTGAAGGGGGTAAACTCTAGTTGATTTTATTACTGAGGTGTAACCTATGTACAAGTTGAGTATATATATAGTTACAATGAGGGCGGGCCCGCAAATGGCGGAGCCGAGCTAACAGGGTTAGACATTAGCCGATTGAATATTACTGACAAGTCGGGTTACAGGGTTAACGGAATGGTAGGCGATAACCCAGAAACGGAAAGGAGGGATAGGCCCGAAGGTGGGCTTGCAGGGCAAGCAAGTGTATTGCCCAGCGGAGGCGGGAGTGCGCTAGTGGACGTCGGAGCTGTCTGGAAGCCTTCGGGGCTCCATACTTAGGGAGGCGTAGGTAATAAATTGAAAAGAGGGGGTGGTGACCATCGAGGGGTACTGAGGTGATTGCGGAATACGGGAGCTCCGAGGTTAAGGAGCGGACGTAGACCGGAGGGATCAGAGGGAGTGGAAGTCGATGGCTGGGGATGGATATGACAGTGTGGGAATTTTGCTTGGGGTTGTTGGGAATGATGGGGAAAATATGGAAAAATATGGAATGAGTGTATGGTGTATTGGATAGTGATAGAATGAGCATTGGGAGCGTCAGAGGGTATGTGGTGTATGTTGGTGGCCAAATTCCGCAGAATCCGACTTTTTGCGGTGCACGGAGTTGTCCCCACAACAACGTCATCAAGCAACTTCATGCATGGCCAATCACAGCTTGTCCCCTCTAGCACTTGGTCCATCCTGTCGTCATGTGGGACTAGCCACCCTCCCCACATAGATGGCATGGGCTATGGTACTGTTCTCCAGGTTGTTTCTGGTGCAAAGTGGATCATTGTTAGTAGTGACAACGAGAGGCTCTTCGGC